CCCCCAGCCCGCCGCTCCCCCCGCGCCTCAGGACAGGGGGACGTGGGCTCTTTCGGCCGGCGGACCGCCCAGTGGCACCCGGACTGAAGGGCTGGCTGCTCACCGAAACGAATTAATTATGTATGAATTTGTTTCTTCGTTGGGCGTTTTATTCCTTGAGAGAGGGAAGCAGAAAAAGAACCGAAACACTCAGGGGGCTTTTCCTGTCTACGAAGCAGTGTTGGGTTTAACTGCGTGATTTAATCCCACGAGTTTAACTTGGGCACGTTAACGGGGGAGAGTTTAGGCTGAAGCCGAATGATCTCGTCGCTGCGTAAACGCAGCGGGTGGCGGAAAACGGAGCGGACGGGCCCCAGCGGGACCCCTCGCTTCTCCAGCGACGGCGAAACCCTCCGGCTTTGTCGGTCCGGCCGTGGCAAACGCAGATTTTCCCGCCCCCCGCGCCGGTGCCGGTGCCGGGGTTTCAAGGACCGACCCTCCCCCGGGGGAGGAGGGAGCCGGGCTCCGTTGCGGCCAGGTCGAAGGGGGGAGTGCGGCGTAAGACGGCGCATTCCGGGAGGAGAAGCGGGGAGGGGGCCGGGCCGGGCCCAGGAGGCGGCCGCAGAGGGGATGGGGCCGTGCGGGGGTCGGAGGCTGCGCGGGCTGCGCCGCTTTGCGGGACCCGGCACCCCCCGCCCCGCAACGGGCTCCGGGGAACTGGGGGAGAAGGGAAAGGGAAGGGTCGGCTGCCCCCGGGGAGGCCGGAGCAGGGCCCCGCATTTCTAAACGCAGAAAGAAGCTATTTCCTTTTCACTTTTTCACCAGCTGAGGTGTTTTTAACTCTGTCATTGTCAAGAAATAAACCTGTAGGGGAAGGGGAAGAGCCCGCAGTATTCAGTTCGGACAAATGCTGTAAATAAATCCCGGTAGTTCTGAAGCTTCCTGATATCCCCTGTTGTTTATACCCTGTGCCATTTCCTGCTGAGAAATACCGTCTTTCATGCAAATGTTCTCAGGTGGAAAATACTGTAAGAATGAAAAAAAGTGTGAAAGACTTATCTGCCTTCATGGTGTTATGAAAAGGGTTAATCGCTCTGACTGTCTTTATCAACGTTTCAGAAACACTTATTGTTTGATTTTTGTCCCGTCAATAAATGCACAACTAGAGGCTGCTTCTGTAAGTCTGGAGTACAACAGATACACGTCCCATGAGGTTTTGCGTGACATTTAAGTATCGATTAACGTTAAAACTCGAGGAGCTAAATGCGCCTTACACCCATGTGGCCATTTCCCTTCTTCCATAGGATTTGTACCAGCAATTTCAAAAGGCAGAGTTTAAAAGCTCCGGCATGTAGGGAGTGGAACCAATTCAGAGAAATTGTCTGGGCTTCCAGAGCCAGCTCAGTTGAGCCCAGGGACCCGGCTTTGCCTGTGATCCGGTCAGTCCGGTCTGCTGGTGCTTGGAGCACAGGAGGTGGCAGCCCTATTTAAAGATTATTTCAATGTGTAGAAAGATTGGGGCTATGATATTGCTATGGCAATTCTTCTCCTCTTTTCTAAGCAGGATGATGAAACATGCTAACCTTGCTGTGTCCCAAGCGCACAAGGCAAAAAACACTTTATCACGTGCAGTGTTTGGATTGTTTCGCGTTGCAGTGGCTGCTACTTGCTGCAAAAGGAAAAGGGGATGCACACAAGAGATGCATGCATTTCTTCATAGCTCTGATGCTGCATAAAGGTAGTGCAAGATCCCTTACTCTGTCTGAAGTCCAAATTTCAGTTGTAATTCTCCGTGTGTGCCATCTTCCTATTTTGGGAATTATTTCTTCCATTTTCCTATGACCCTTCCAAGCACAAAATCTACACGCAATGCAAGCAGGACTACAAGTACAAAAAAAGGTTGTGGATTTTACTGGTGATGAAAATTACAAGCTGTCCTGATACTCCTTTCATACACAAACTACTTACTTTCTATTTTTAAAACGCAAGTATGTCCAGAATTGCTTGTGAGCTTTTCTGTGTTAAAAAATGAATGTAAGAACCTTTGTGATTAATACTTCATATCATTTTTGACAAGGAATGCTTTTGCAACCACATCTCCATCAGGACAGGCCATCAAATAATTTAGTTCTTTGCAGCCACCAAAGAAATGCAAACCAAAACCTAAAAGACCCTTTCCACCTACACAGGCCTCTGGTTCTGACCCCAGTCCCCGAGGAAAGAGCTGCCCCCGCTCACTGTAACGCTGCTTCCTTCCTTGTAGGTAAGTGAGCGGGGAAGGCAGAAGGGGTGTTCGCAGCTCCCTCCCCCTCTACTTCCAGCCCTCTTCTCCAGTGAGATTTGTGCCACCTCTTGAGCTGCGCTGTGCTCTGATACAGCACAACCCCAAGACCAGGTTTTTGGAGCTCAAGGACTCAAGTTTTTCCTTTACAATGTGAACCAGGAACATTTTCATCACTGGCCAAAAGCATTACATCAAGGTGTATGTAAGACTGAATCTTTTTCCCTAGCTGCAGTTGATACTTTCTCCCTCAAGGCTAATTATTTTGAAATATATTCTTTTTTATTAAAACTGGAAAAAAAAGTCTCTGGGAAAATGACATAGCAATAATTTGCCCCATGTGTTGAGTAATTATAATCTCCGGCCATTAGGAAAAACAATTTCATAAGTAGAGGAGAGGGTATTGATTTACTCCATTAAAAAAAAGAGCAGGAAATAGTATAAAATTGCTATAGCCAGTGTGTGATTTGTTCAGGTTTTGGATCAGGTGTATGGCATTTATTTCTCGTTTCTGATTCACTGTCCGGTCAGTTAACTAGAGAATACAGTTATTTGTTTACCCAGTTGGTGTATTTCGTTTTTGCAGAAATAAAAGCACTTTTTTTTTTTTTAAACATGATGATTTATAAATATAAATTTTCCTGTAGGTATGCTGATCTAGTGAAGGTATAAGTCTTTCCAAGAATGCTGCTAACTTTATTATTCCATTAAAAATAAGATAGGGGAATTTTTTTGTAACTGTTCAGACTGTTCTTCAGTGTTCTTTACAGCTGGTTATCCACTACAGGACTAAACTGTAATGTAACTGTTAATTTGATATACAAAAGGTTGCTGATATTAAAAAAAAGAATTTTGACAAAAATGTTTGTATAACCAAAAATAAATATACCCTATATCCTATACTTCAGTTGCTGTGAATAAAGAGGTATTTTGAAGATAGACATGGAGGGTAGATAAAAATACAGCACAAAGGTCCTGTTTAAAGATTATGTATTCTAGCACTTCCCAGTGTTGAGAATTGTTAGGACTAATAGCCTGGTTTAGCACTAGAAGATAAAGTAGTTGAAGCCTTAGGCCACAAGAGGTGGCTGAGAGTAAACATTTTGTTCAAACTAATGCTGCCAACACAGAACTAGCTGAAACCGGCAAATACAAGCAGAATGAAGAAGATAAGGACCAAGGAAACAATTCCAAGAGAATGAGGTAACTTCAGAAGGTGGCCAGTCCAGCGAACAGCAAAACCAATAAGTCAAGAGACCACAGACCAGAATTAAGTGACTAGACTTGGGGTTTGGGTGACGGGTGGTACAGGTACAACTGGGGGGACGGTCTGGGGTAGGGGGTCCCTCTTTGGAGGAACCCGGCTTGAACTGCTCTGCACGTGGGGTAAATAAACCACTTATTTACTCAGCGGATTGGAGATGTCTTCTTGGAGCAGGAGCGTAGGGCCGAGCCCTGTTGAGGTGGCGCGCACATAATTCCTACCGTGGTGTAGGTGGCAGCAGCATAATTCCTGCTACACCAGGATGATGTATTTGAACGCTGTGCCATCTTACTGCTGTTGGGTGATGTCATCTGGGTAGAGTGGATTTAAAGAACACTACTTTGGACTGAATAGAAAAGAACATTAAAGAGCATGATTGATGGAAGAATATGCTGTCATATGATTCTATATGCACATTATTTGCTTTATTAATTTTGCACGTTCATCCTCCTGTGGGATAAAATTGTTATGTTTGTTATATTTACTAAGCCTAACTCCTACTTTTATCTTTGGTTAAAAGAACAAGCACACAAAATTTTCCATTGTAGTTGGTTTTTGTCATGTCAGAGACTTTGGTCACAGCACTAATAGAAAAATAACGGATATGATAGAATCAGATCTGATGACATGCATGTGCAGGTGGAAATGCTATGTTCACATTATAGTCCCTAATATTGCTTTATCATTCATACTGAGATTGGAAGTAGCAATCATAAGCAACATTTTCTTTTCTGTTGCATGAAGAGTTCCAGGAGCCTTAGAAACAATTTCACATACTGAAACAGCCTTTAAAAAACAAAACAAACAACAACCCCCCTCCCCCCAAAACCTGAAATTTCTGTGAAAGCTATGTTAATGAAGTGTGCAGCATGCAGCATACAAAGACAGGAAAGGCAAAAAGAACGCTTATGGATTCCTGAGCTGGGAGGCCAAAAGGTACCACCAGGCTTCTACTTCAACTCAGGCAACAGGGCTGCCCTGCGGTAGCTGTAGTTTGAACTAGGGTCTTTTTTTTTAGGACACGATAATTAAATTTGACTTTTATGTGACTGATTATAGAGAATAATAGCCACTGACAAATTCTTCTGATGATCATCATCGCTGTCAAAATATGCACTTTTAGTATATGACATTTTCTAAAGTCCCTTTCTAGTGACCCACATATCCCCTTACGCAAAAACCTGGAGACTGAAATATGCCATGGTTTATTAATCTTTTTAGGTATTAGACTTATACAGAGGCCCAGAATGTGCAAACTATGTTTCAGTTTGCACTAAGGCACTTGGAAAGCAGATCTCTAATCTCCTTTTGAAGCTGCTAAAAAACAGAGTATGGAGGATGCCTCTTGCCACTCGATACCTGAAATCCCATCCAAGAGGTGCCCATCAGCCTTCAAGCTGAAAGTAACTGCTAAATTAGTGACAGATTAAAGAGACACCTTGTGCCTCTCTCTGTACCTGTACTACCAAACATGCAGTCAGTACGGGAAAGGTTGACTGTTGTGATTCTGTGGTCCCTGTATGAAGTAAGTGTGTTCAGAAATCCACAGAATATGCTTAGAATGCAGGATTATTCAGATCCCGTTTGAGATAAGGCAATACTGGCTTTGATCTGCATCTACAGCAGCATCTAATTACCCAGGAATGAGGTGGAGTGATTTAGAAAGCCTGCGGATTGAGGCTGAAAGACTTTAGAGCTGATTAGTAGCTATATGATAAACTCTGATAGTTTACAAAGCCAGCCCATAGTGGCTAGTTTCTTAGATTTTAGTAGTTTTAATACAATTAATGACATATAAATACAGGAAAGGTCAAATAGGTATGAAAAAATATTCATCTTCACTTTGTGTTTTTAGTTACAGAGGGAATATTCTCTACCTAAAGCAGTTGTAGGGAGAAGCTATACATGCTATTATTAAAAAAAAAAAAAAAAAAAATCACACGCACAGTAGAACTGAAGATAAATAACTTTTAGACAGGACTTCTATGCTGTATTAATCACTGGGCTATTGGTAAAAGCTTATTAAGATAAATGTCACTTGCTACTACACAAATTCTTTCACTGTACCCTGTAGCCACCTGTCACTTCAGCTACAAAAAAAGACTGAGCACCATCAAGTGGTAGACATTGTTATAGCAGTTACAACGATGCACGTGGATCAGCTTCCATTAGTAATAATTTTGATCCTTTCCCGACTAGAAAACTACAGCCTTTTTTTTTCCTTCAATTTACAACGCATATAACATGAACTTACTTAGAATTAATAGCGATGTACTGCACAAGAAAATAAACATCACAATCTTAGAAAGAACTGTAACAGAACTAAGGAAACTACCACTTAGAAAGAAAATACAATAATAAAGAAGCTTTAGTTACAGGAATTTCAGTTGTAACAGATCATTTCTTACCCGGATAAAGTCTATGTTCCCCAACACAATACTGGAGAACAATTAATTCATCAAAATTAACCTTAAGTGGGACTTAAAAAACTGACGGTAAAGTAAGAACTCACACTTTGAATTGACAGTGCAGCCCTTTTATTGAAAACTTGGTGGCTCTTAAAAGAGCCTTTGGGTTAGAACTGCGGATCCGGGAGACGCTCTACTTGGAGCTGGTGTACTTGGTGACGGCCTTGGTGCCCTCGGAGACGGCGTGCTTGGCCAGCTCGCCGGGCAGCAGGAGCCGCACGGCCGTCTGGATCTCCCGCGAGGTGATGGTGGAGCGCTTGTTGTAGTGCGCCAGGCGCGAGGCCTCGCCGGCGATGCGCTCGAAGATGTCGTTGACGAAGGAGTTCATGATGCCCATGGCCTTGGACGAGATGCCCGTGTCGGGGTGCACCTGCTTCAGCACCTTGTACACGTAGATCGAGTAGCTCTCCTTGCGGCTCTTCTTGCGCTTCTTGTCGCCCTTCTTCTGCGTCTTGGTGACGGCTTTCTTGGAGCCCTTCTTGGGCGCGGGGGCGGACTTGGCCGGCTCGGGCATGGCAGCAAAGGCGCGACTCCCACAGACCCCAACCGCGGCACAGACAAACGTAAAGAGACGAAGTGAGTGAAAGTAGCCGAGTGCCACGTATTTATAGCTCCCTTATGCAAATGAGCAGCATTCCCTCTGCGTACTTTCATTGGCCAGAACACGAGCGCGCGTCATAGCTCCCCTATAGCCGTCTTTCATTGGTCGGAATTCGATTCACCACCTCATTGGCTGCTCAGAGGAGACCTACTTCTCAGCCTATCAGCGAAGGGGCGAGGTGGGAACAGCGAGGCTATAGCTGAGGTGCGCTGGCTGCTTTGCTGCGTTCTGTCGCTGGTTGCTCTTAGAGGCGAGCGAGGAAGCAAGCAAAGCAGCAAGGAAGGATGTCCGGCCGCGGGAAGCAGGGCGGGAAGGCGCGGGCCAAGGCCAAGTCGCGCTCGTCGCGGGCCGGGCTGCAGTTCCCCGTGGGCCGCGTGCACCGGCTGCTGCGCAAGGGCAACTACGCGGAGCGGGTGGGCGCCGGCGCCCCGGTGTACCTGGCGGCCGTGCTGGAGTACCTGACGGCCGAGATCCTGGAGCTGGCGGGCAACGCGGCCCGCGACAACAAGAAGACGCGCATCATCCCCCGGCACCTGCAGCTGGCCATCCGCAACGACGAGGAGCTCAACAAGCTGCTGGGCAAGGTGACCATCGCGCAGGGCGGGGTGCTGCCCAACATCCAGGCCGTGCTGCTGCCCAAGAAGACCGACAGCCACAAGGCTAAAGCCAAGTGAGCCCAAGGCAGCACGTTTTCTCTTCCCGAGAAAATAATCCAAAGGCTCTTTTCAGAGCCACCCACAAAATCGTAAGAGAGCTCAGTTATCCGTACTATAGTTACACCGGTTCATACGAACTACTCGACCCGTGCTTTTTCTTATTTTCTTCATGTTTATTAACAGTATTTTTGGCCTGATGATAGTAGCAACGCTTTCCATGGTTTTGTTACCGCAAAGTCGTGCCAAAATGTCCTCTCAAAGCAAGTTTTTTCCTGGGATGGGCTCTTTAGCGTTTAGTCCTAAAGCCAGAGAACACGGGAACGCCGTATTTCGGCGAGAGGTCCCGTCCCTCCCCCCTCTTCCGCCCTTTTCCGAGAGTGGCTGAACCAGCACCAGAGATACGGGGCGTAATCGTCTTCGGGGAAGGGGGGGAAGGGGCAGCGGGCCGGGCTCTCCCCGGCCAATCCTTGGTCAGGGCGGGCTTTTTCAATAGTTAAAGCTCGCTCTTTCTCCTCGGGAACAAAAGGAACGGGAGAGCTCAGGGCTATTTTCGGGTCGGTAACGAAACCCTCCCCTCCTCCCCCAAACAGACACACCACTTTTTAAGGAGACACCTTCAGAGAAATAATACAATAGATTAGACTTGGCTCAGTAGTAGCGTGCCCGGCAATTGCATTACTTTTGTTACAAAATATATCCTTAAAAAAAACGTACATCCGATGTTTATCAAAACATTATAAAACATTGCTTCCTGGTAATCAAACCAATTACTCGGCAAAAAAAAAAAAAAAGATGTAAAAGTCTACACTTCCCTAAAGCCGCCGCGTTATACCGTGCTCGTTAGCGTTTCTTTCGGTAATTGCAGGGGAAAAGAAGACACAATTGATCTCTGACGACTTACGAATTACTGGATCCTTGCTGCAGGTTACTGACGACCTCGGTGCCTCAGCTCGTTTAGGGAAAGTGTGGGTGGCTCTTAAAAGAGCCGTTGGATAACAAAATACGGAGAGCAGAACTCTTCTACTATAATTTACTTCTTTTTAGGCGCCGCCTTCTTCGCCTTGGCTGCTTTGGGCTTGGCCGCCTTGGGCTTGGCTGCTTTGGGCTTCACCGCCTTCGCCTTGGCCGGGCTCTTTGCTGCTTTCTTGGGGCGGCCTGCCTTGGTCGCCTTCTTGGGGCTCTTGGCCGCTTTCTTGGCCGCGGCAGCCGCCGGCTTCTTCGCTTTCTTGGGGCTCTTCTTCACGGCCGCCGCTTTCTTGGGCTTCTTGGCGGCGCCGGCGGGCTTCTTGGCCGCCGGCTTCTTGGGCTTGGCGGCGGCTGCCCGCTTCTTAGGGGCTTTTTCCTTCACCTCGCCGGGCTTCTTGTTGAGACGAAAGGAGCCGGAGGCGCCGGTGCCCTTGGTCTGCACCAGGGTGCCCTTGCTGACCAGGCTCTTGAGCCCCAGCTTGATGCGGCTGTTGTTCTTCTCCACGTCGTAGCCGCCGGCGGCCAGCGCCTTCTTGAGCGCGGCGAGCGAGAGCCCCTTGCGCTCCTTGGAGGCGGACACGGCCTTGGTGATCAGCTCGGTGACGCTGGGGCCCGCCGGCTTGCGGGCTCGGGAGCCGCCCGCCGCCTTCTTGGGCTTCTTGGCGGCGGCCTTGGCGCCGGGCGCGGGCGCATCGGGGGCGGCGGCGGGAGCGGGCTCGGACATCGCGGCGGCGGCGGCGGCAGCGTCCTCTGCGGAGCAGGCGAACACAATTGGGCTGGCGCGGGTCAGATGCTCGTATTTTTAGAGAGGAGCCGCGCGGTGATTGGTGCGTTGCAGAGCCCGCCCCGCTGCACGGCCGGGGAGCCCTTCGGTGTGCTCGATTTGTGTTTCTTTGGACTCACAAAAGTGCATTTTCCTCGGAATTTCTGCCACCAAATCGCCCCGTTTCCCCGGTGAGGGAGGAGAAGAGCAGGTACTTGCGTTCGGGAGAGTTTCCAGCCGCAAACACGCGGGCTGAGTTAAAGGAGAGGCGATAAATCCCGTGTGCTGCTGCTGGAGAGACCTCTGAAGAGAGAAACTTTTGTTTTTCCTTGCAAATTAAAAATTTCCTTTTGACATAAATGTTGCAGCAACGGCCCAGTCTGGTTCTTTAGAGGGTTTTCTTGGGGTCGAAGTTGAAACCGGCCGATTTAAAGCTATTTTGACAGTTTAAATTGATTTTGCAGAGGAGGAAGTAACACAAACTCCTCTTTCAGCTCTGAATATGGATTAAGAACCGGTTCCTTTGACCATGTGTTTTACCTCCTAAAACGCTAAAGTCTAGTGAAATAGTGTCTCGTACAACCTCCTATTGCATTTTTTATAGAGCCATAAGCAATTTGTTAAGATCTGGAGATTTATGAACACACAGTTGGTTTATTTTGTCTTCCTGGAATTTCAGTAGAAGGGAGGCAAACTTACCCTGCTACCTTGTGCTGGGTGTTTTCTTTCTTTTGTTTGTTTTCCATATGAATTTCTGTGCCAGTTATTAAGTAAATCAAGCTATTTGCTTTTCACGTTGCATTTGAATTTCAGGTAAACAGTCATTTGATATCTGATTTTACAAAACTGCAGCCTTATAAAAGAAAGCAACCTCCTAAACTTCTGGTGATACTGAAATTATCTGTTGGGTCTCTAGTAATTTAAGATGTGCAAGGACTAGAATAGCAGTTTAGTAGTTATGCTCTTCCTTCCCAGAGAGTATTATCTTGCTATGTATTTTCTCTAATAATAGTATAATTTAAAAGCGTGTTAACTGTTTGTTTTGGGTTTTGGGGGTTTTTTTTTTGGTTTTTTTTTTTTACATGTTTCACACAATATGTCTGCACAAAGGTTTATCTAACGCCAATTCTGAATCCTCTTCCCACTCTAAATAAAACCCACCTAATTCTTCCTTATGTATTTTACAGCCATCACTGAAGTGAGGAAATGCTTTCAGGACAAAAAGTAGAGCACTTTGTGATAACCTGAGTTTTAACAAGGGGAGAGAGAGGTAGGCCATAGGTCGTTCCTAAAGAACCAGGAAGAATTCAATCAGTATCGATATTTAGTGGAAGATGATGTAATATTCTGAACAGAACAGAGCTCTGGAGTAATATTCCATTAATCTTTACCTGATTATAAACAAGTGTATTATCCATTGCCTTTTGTAGTTATTTAAGAATCACAAAGGCTACACTTCAGCCCTGCCCTCTGATTTCATTTGATATTGCCAGATATAACATATAACGTGAACACAGTATTTAGGTACGTATTAGCAACCAAAATTTCAGATTGTATGAAAAGGTAGTTTGGGGTAAGTGTAATCCTATTTCCACTTCATTGCCTCATTTACAATGGCTGTTTTGTAAATACTGAATGTGTATGTAACACGAAAACATTTTAGTTTGCTGTAAAATTGGGTTTCAGTGAATACAAAACTGTGAATAAATGCAATGAAGGGAAAAATTGCAACCTGCACCCTTGAAGCAAAAAGTATCAGAAAAAAAAAAAAAAAGGTTGCAGGAAAAGTGCACCTAAAGCTCTGAAATGCTTCAACAGGAAGATAATTGAGAGAAGGGCTAATCAAACTGGGAAGTTCATAGTCTTGTTTGTAAAAGTTATGTAGCATAAAATATGGATACAGGAATGAAATAAATTGGAGTGGATGCAGTATTGAAGATATACCTTCAGAAATTACCAAAACTGAAGTAAATAAATACATTTTTTAAGCCTGTGTCCTACATGTGTTTGTAAATTAAGGAATGAGACTTTCCACTGACTTGACCACGTAGTGAAATAAAGTAGCAGTGCTGGGAGGAGAAGACATTTAACAGCTACCAAGACACTTCATGGCACACAGACAGGGGAAAAGTGTAGACCATGAGTGACATGTCAGCAAAATGGAAACTCACGTTGCCTCCTCTTGTTATTTTGAACTCATACATATTTACTTCAGTAACCTTCACTGGAGGAGATTTAAATACTCCAGCCCTCAGCTGTGGCTTCACAGAGTGTTGATTCACATTTATTGGTGGCTGAATTGAGGTGGCTAAAATGGTCGCCATCCCAGTTGTCTGGCTTTTCTCCCAGCAGTTGCTACCCTCTCCCTGTTCCCAACAGGGACAGCTAAGAATATGTGTAGCAGCTTCTGATCTCCAACAGTTAGTCTACTGTCTTAAAATAAGCTTCAGAAATTTTGTGACACAGAGAGAAGCTCTGATATTTCTGTTTTCATGGCTTTGCAGCAAAGACATAAAATATCTTCAGCAATGTAGAATTGCTGATTGGGACACATGTTCTCCTTTACATGAAAGAAATGTATGCAGGAACATTTTGGAAAGTCAAGGCGCATTTGGCAATTTTAAAAAGAATTTGCTCCGCAGTCAGAGCAGATAGTGTAGAAGGAATGGATAGATGTACTCAGGCAAAGAAAAAATGTGGTGAAGGGTTATATAAAAGGCAGGAATGGCAATTTCACCTCCAGATGAGCAAATGAGAAAAGGAAATAATCCTGGTTTTGGTATAGGATGTTGTAGAAAGACTTAATGAAGAAGGCGCCACATAGACTCTGACATGCAGTTTGGCTTTTCCAATGAGACTGGAGGGAGGCAGAGCTCATTATTCATTAGAAGAGGAGAATAGCGATATCAGGATTTCCAGAGATACTTTTGGAGAGAGCATCACTGTAATGTCTCCTACATCCGAATGACTTCAATCCTTCTCACCTCATGGGCACGCCAGCAGGCCACACTACATCACAAACCTGCACAAGATTGCAATCTGAACCCCGCAACTCACTTCCCTTCAGATACCCGGGTCTGTCCAACTTTTGCAGTTATCTATTAAGACCTCTTGGCATAAACAAGGAGACAAATGAACCACAGCCAAGGGCTGGCACTGCACTTGAGAGCTATCAAACATTCCCATCTCCAGTTTAGCACCTGCCAGTACTTGTTCCTAAGAAAATGAACTCTGGGTTATATTTAGATATTTTTGCAATAATGAGAGGTAGCACAGTAAGGGTTCTTCTCAAGAAATTTTGTTAGGATGCATTAGCATGAGAGCTAGCCACACAAATGTGGCTAATGGGCTGCTCTACCTGCTGTAGGTGAGTCCTGTGGTCAGTCATTCTTGGACAGCTGGAGGAAATGCAACTGAGATGCCTGTGCACCACAGCCCCTCTCCTTCCTTCAAGTGATAATTTCCAGAGAGATTTAGGTGAGGCCTTTGCATTATGTGCTGTACTCCAGCATACATGTTCTGCAGGAAAGAGGTGTAAATACTCCCTACAACCATGATTACGCTCCTATTAGTGTTACACCCATGCCTTACTTGCCCTCAGTGACTTCATCCTTCATTTGAGTTACAAATGTAGTAACTCCTGTGATCAAACCAGCCAGCACAGTTTAACTGCTTTTAACCCTTAGCTAAACAATTTTAAAGTGGTACCTACCAAACTACAAACTTGTTGCAGCTCAGCCAACAAGTCTCTGCCTTCATAACACTCATGTTGCTGCTGCTGCTCTTAAGACTCCTAAGTGCACTGAGGCCACACAAGGCCTTTTAAATCCAGTGCACGGCTGAGCATCTCCAGTGGGCAGGACAAATAGGATAGGGCATCGGATGACTGTCCCCATAGACTCAGCTTCCTGGAATGTTGCACACTCCTCCCTGTACTCTTGGTTAAGGGTTGGGGCACCTATTGTGGCCTCTCTTCATCATTGTCATGGCATGTCATTTGGGAATTGAAAACCTATAGTCCAAAACTTGGATATGACCGAAATTAGGAGGCACTGGGAAAGATGTCCTTCCTAGGAAAGCAAAAAAAAAAAACCCCAGCAAAAAATCAGGGGGCCAAATCCCTTCCCAGAAAAGCTAATGAGGAAATAAGATGCACTTTGTCCTCTACTGTATGGGAGTTTACCAGGTTAACATGTTTCTACTTTTCTCACACACAGGCACAGAAAAGGTCCTCACTGTCAGTCAGATATCAAAGAACAGAATTATTTATGTCTTAAAGTACTTTGGTCTTCTAAAACTAACCTCAGGCACTTGAGAAACTGTCTTCTGGACCACCCTGGCATGCATTGAATGCAGTCATCAACCAGTGACTGAGGACCCCAGGCCCTGAGGCAAACTGTCCATGAGAGGTAAGCAACATTACCAGAAGCTCCATCAGCCATGGCTCCCCAAAGAAATGGTCTCCTCCTGAATTGACAGTGCCTCTCCTTCACCTGCATTCAGTAGTGAATTCCACCAAGGAGGGGTGGCACCACACTGTCCGTTCAGAGCAGCCTCTCCATCAGCTCTGAAGCCTGGCTGCTCAGAGAGGTGAGCAGCCCACACAGAGCAATGCCGAGCAACCCACTCTTCCTCCCCACAACACCCTGACACTTCTGCGTGCTTTCTGCCTGCCACTCTGTCCCGTGTGTGTGCCAGGGCTCCTGTGAATGCTGGTAAAAGGGAGGGAGCAATGTGGCCAACCCACATGCCCCCTCCAGCCAGAGCCATGTACCTATGGGGGCACAAAGTGTCCTTGGGCACGTAGCGCGAGCACAGCTGGCCTGCAGTCCGCCATCTCCCTGGCTGGTGACACCCCAGGCGCTGATGTGACAAGCTTCCAGGTACATTTGGGTTAGCAGACAACCCATTTTTTTTGCCACACAGGCAGTGATGGTGGCACCCAGACACTGTGTAGGCTGGACTTCTGCCATCGATGAGAGCCAAAGCATTGTGTCACACAACATGTGAAGATGCTCTCATTAAGTGATGCTGCCTTGCCGGTTTTCCTCAGAGGTGTGGGGGTGAAGCAGATACTGGCTCCAGATAAGGCTGCTTGTGCCATCTTTCTAGAGCAGGAGTACCGCAAGGTAGCAGTTGGGTACCAGCAATATAGGTTGGCTGTCTTCCCATAGAAGGGAGCAAAAAAGTTTTGAAGAGTTGTTCAGTGTGTAAGAGTGCTGTGCAGTAGCTTATGTTTTTTTACACTACGTGGTTTGCAGCTGTGCATTCCGTGGGCTGGTGCCAGAGTGGTACTGTCCCTGGTTAGGATGTCATCCAGACTGCCAGGGACACTGGAAGGGCCGGCTGGTGCCCAGATTTCCCCACAATATACAAATGAGGCCAGTCACTCAGCACTCCTGCTATCAGACAGTTAGGAAGTCAGGAATCTGGCTTCACAGGCTCATGAGAGTATATATATATATATACACCATGGGCAGATTCAAGAATAATGTATTTCACCTATTTTGCCTGCAACCTGCCTTGTATGGTCTGGTCCCAGAAAGAAGGATTGGCTTCTGTAGTAAGTGTATTAAGTCCAAATCTTGGTCTTCCTGACATAGTTTTTTTCTGGTTTGGACACTGCAAATGCAATCAAGTTTTGGCTGATTCGTGCATGAAATAAGAAGTAGAATAACAGGTTCACTTTTGTGTGCTGTTTGAGGTTAGTAGTTTGTAACATCTTACATTTAATTGTATGGTTAGCAAGATCAGCGCACAAGGCCAGCACTGAGCAGCTAAGAGCAAGGATCAGCCTATGTCCGGCTATATGGAGGTGGTAAATAAAGAGAAACCAGCTGGGGTTTTGGATTTACCCAAACTGCAATAGGAGACACCTACAAGAAAGGAAACTTAATAGCCCAAATTACCCCAAGCTGTTGAGAAAAGGGCCTGCTGATCAATAAATTAAATGTTTTGGGTAATTCTGATATTAACTGTCCAGATCTAATGCATGTTCCTTTGTACAAATATCTTCCCTGTAGGAAAAAAAAAAAGAAGAAAAAAGAAAAAAATACTAAAGAAAAAAAAGAACCAAAACCTAAGTGGACGCAAAGGTGTAATTTGTACTTGTTTTGTTAATTCTTTAGAAGAAAACAGTCCTTGACATGCTTGAGTACATGGAAGGGATTTCAAGGGTTACCGCTGTCAGCCACATCAGTGGATGAGGACAGGAATGTTTGTTTGCATTTGACACTAATGAAAATAAAAGGTTCTTACACTTGAAAATGGTTCAGATTTACATTTTTCTTTTTTTCATTTTACAACGTGCTTATTCTTCTAGCATGGTGAACGGTCTTAGCTCTGGGGTTTTGGGCAGGGGCATTGTCATCTTCTTCTCCCTAGGGCAGGAGGGTCATCTGGTTATAGTCTCTTCAGTGTTAAAGGAGACACTGGCTCTACTGGGCTAGTATCAGGGACACACAGTCCATAAGTCTGGGAGAGGACAGATGAAGAATACAGAGTGTAGTAGCAGAACACGTTTCTGCAGTTAGGAATATCACCATGGATGCAGAGTGGGGAGAAATGAATGGGCAATATGAGTGGGGCAGCCCTGAGATTGTGCTACCCTTTGAATTGCATTCTGGATGGACACTTATGGTCACAACACTGGAAGAACGGAGTAACTCACAGGAAAGTTCCATCTTGGCCGATATCCCATCTGTGACAGAGGCCAGTAAAAAAAAGAGTGTAATAACAACAGCTGATATCTCATCAAAATGATGCCTTAGGTCCTAGTGATTTGTAGGCCAGGGATTCACCAGGTCCAGGGGGTATCTTTGAATTGGAGAGCTTTGAATGGATTTTTCTCCTGTGTATTTATTGATTGCTTTCTCTGGACATAACATCTCTCATTTTTCATGCTTTAGGATGTGGCTTTAGCATGACAAGTTATAAAAGGTTGAGGAACAGGTACAGTGAGAGTGGTAGATGGACAAATGGGTGACAAACGTATACTACATGGAGCGTATCCCTTCCATAGAGGAGATACTCATTTATATACACTTAAGTGTCCTCAGTGTGTCTGTGTGTGTTACAAAATGGTGCTGGAAAATATGCTTTCTATGGTGTAGATGAAGCGGGACAAAGTGGCAAAGAGAGTGAACTGAACGCCTTTTCCTGTAGCTGAAGAGAGGTGAAAAGAATATATTTCAAGCAGAGGGAATGACAAGTCATTTGAAAGAACAGTGAAAAAGAAATCGAGTCTTCAGGGTCAGGCAGAGACATTCCTATATAAAATAACTGAACTGAAAGATCCTGGGAAAAAATTACCTCACCATTATATTTTTGGATCCCATCACTCACACAGACCTTCCCTCCTGGAGTCACTGTGACTGAGGCAGAACCAAATGCCAATGTCAGCGAGACAAAGGGTTGTGAGAGTTCACAAAGATCTCCCTGAGACCTTCAGCCTGAAGGGCTCTCCTCTGTCTCTGTGGATAATGACGTGTGTATTCAGCCATGATAAGCACAGGCAAATCCTCCATATTGGAATTATGCTAATCTCATACCCCAGTGGGCCCTGAGCTACGAAAAGGAAGACTGCAAGGATAGCCAGCAGAAATGAGGTGTGGATTTAACAGCAAAGTTATGAATCATACCAAAATAACAAAGAAAAATGTTGTCACTGGCAATGTGCACTGGTGAAAGGAAAACATGTTATATGAAATAAAGAGTATCTATCCACTCAGAATGATGTCAGGCCTTTGAAAACATGGAGGTACACACGCACATAGCTGAAGTAGCTATTTTAGTTGTACATTTGACATACATGACTAATTTTTATCATGTTAGTAGCAGTGATCTAAATGGAAATATAATGCTTTCTGAATGTGACCAGGATGTCTGGGACTTAATATGAAGCAACACTCCAGACAACAGGATAGAAAATAAAGGGTCTTCTCCAGTTATATGCTGAAAAAGCCCTTTCTGGACTCACCAGTGATGCTGTACTCTGAGAGTTAGGAATAGCCAGCTTCTAGAAAAAAAAAAAAGAATGTTTATAGATGTGATTTTCCTGATGCTTCACAGCATAAGGCCACGGAGGGGTCCTGTCAGTTCTTACATTTAACAGCCGGTTCTCAATATTACCGTCGAGTCCTTGCAATGTGAGCTCAGAACTAAAGAGACATGGTCAGCAAGACCTTAACAAAGGTCCGCGGAGGCCTCAAAGCCACCGGCTCCTCACTCAGTGGCACCCTCGGCCGTCAGAGAAGGAAGGTCTGCGCACCGTCGCCCCGCCCGCGGGGGGTCAGATGCCGGGAAACGGCGCTTCAGGGGCCGCGGGGCCGGGGGAAGGCG